GGGGCTCTGTCCTCCTGCCTCCGGTCTTGCAGAACATCCACAAGGCGCCGGAGCGTGTCCGTTTGCTCCCTCATTAGTCCAAGCAGCTTTTCAGTAGCCTGTTGGTCCTCCTGACGCCACCTCTCCTCCCGTTCCATGACTGCTCGGTGCATTTGTGACAAGTTCTCCCTCCACTGTGTCTGCTGGGCTGCCTGGGCTCGGGAGCATCCCATTAGTTCTGAGAACATGTCTTCACGCGTCTTCTTCTTCCTCCGCCTAATCTGCGCTAGCCTCTGGGAGTGTGCTGACAGGCTGGGTTGGGAGACAGTCGCAGATGTGTCTGTGTGAATTGTGAAAAGGGAGTGAATTCCTGAGACAGATAAATGAAATTGTATACAAAGAACCTAGTCTTTCTCTGTGAACAAGACCATGCACTGCACCTCTCACATGCGCACTCAGGACAAGGTCGAATTTTCGGCCGTCGCCTTCAGTGCCTGTGGACTTGCGGAGGTCTTGGAGTGATCTGAGAAGCGTGGCTGGAGACCTGAACTTCTGGAGCGGGCAATAATGGTAAGCCGCAGACTTGTGGCTGCTTAAAACTCCAGCAGTAGCACTGGCCTCCTTTCACATTGAAAGCAATGCCAGTCTCTGCTGCCAGCAATCAGGACAGCATCAACTCTGCCCCTGTCCCACCCCCTCGCGGCTGTCCCAGGGAAAGATCCCTGTATGCTGCCCCTCTCCCTCCACCGCGTGGCTGTAAAGCAGTCCCAATACTAACATTCCCCTCCCTAATTCAAAGCAGGGCGTCATGAGCGACATCACCCTCCTGAGGATCCCGGACACCCAGAGAGAACGCATGCTGCGGGAAAGCATGCAGAAACCGGGGCCGTATGCCGCCATGCTATGTCGGGCCATGATCCCGGAGTACTTGATTGTGGCGTGGAGGGGGCATGTCTGCTACCACGGAGGGCCCACTAAGATCGCCCTACCCCGGAACCTGATCAACAGGCTTGAGCTCTACCTCCACGAGACCTACGAGGAGTTCTCCTACGAGGATTTCTCGTCGATCCCCGGCCACATTGACCGGATTTTCGCGTAGGTGCACTGGGACTTTGGAGTGGAGCGTCTTGGGCCTGGGAATCATGTAGTAACGGACATTGTGAAAATTTTTTAAAACACTTGGGACTAAATTGAGAAGAGCCTAAGACAGAGAAATCATGAAAACCCATTTGTTACCTTTGTAAATATTCCTGTTTTGTACCTGATTATTTTTTTACTAGTTTACAGAACTTTTATAAATGTACATTGTTAATAGTATAAATATTACCGTTCTGTTTTAAATAAATGTTTACATGTTTACAGCACTTACTGCTTGATCCTTCCCCTGATTCTGTGTCCGGGGTAAGGGATGGGGACGGTTGGTACGGGATCTCGGTAAGGGTGATGAAGAGCTCCTGGCTGTCGGGGAAATCAGCGGTGCCAGCGCTGTCGACTGCCTCGTCCTCCTCATCTCCTTCTTCATCTTCCCCGTCCGCTGTCATGTCCGACGAGGAACCGGCCGCGGACATGATCCCATCCTCGGAGTCCACGGTCAGGGGTGGGGTAGTGGTGGCGGCCGCTCCCAGGATGGAATGCAGTGCCTCGTAGAAACGGGATGTGTGGGGCTGGGATCCGGAGCGTCCGTTAGCCTCTTTGGTTTTTTGGTAGCCTTGTCTCAGCTCCTTGATTTTCACGCGGCACTGCGTTGCATCCCGGCTGTAGCCTCTCTCTGCCATGGCTTTGGAGATCTTCTCGTAGATCTTAGCATTCCTTCTTTTGGAGCGCAGCTCTGAAAGCACGGACTCATCGCCCCACACTGCGATGAGATCCAAGACTTCCCGATCAGTCCATGCTGGGGCCCTCTTTCTATTAGATTGCACGGCCATCTCTGCTGGAGAGCTCTGCATAGTTGCCACTGCTGCTGAGCTCCCCTCGATGTCCAAAGAGGAACTGAGATTCAAACTGCCCAGACAGGAAAATGAAAATGAATTCAAATTTTCCCGGGGGTGTGGCTGGTCAGAGCATCCGAGCTCGGACTGCTGTCCAGAGCGTCAACAGAGTGGTGCACTGTGGGATAGCTCCCGGAGCTATTACCGTCGATTTCCATCCACACCTAGCCTAATTCGATATGGCCATGTCGAATTTAGCGCTAATCCTCTCGTTGGGGAGGATTACAGAAATCGATTTAAAGAGAGCTTTATGTCGAACTAAATGGCTTCCTGGTGTGGACGGGTGCAGGGTTAATTCGATATAACGGCGCTAAAGTCGACATAAAAGCCTAGTGTAGACCAGGCCTAAATATAGCTTTTCACTATCCAGATGTCTCTTCAATTATTTTGATTCAGCCAGGGGTGAAAGTAACTTAAAAGTCTTACCAGTGTGGGGGCCACGCTCTGGGCCCCTGAAAGGGGCAGGGCAGAAGGGGTGGGGCTGGAGGTCAGCCTCCCCCAGCCAGCCATTCAGCGCTGCCCAGCCCACATCGCCTGGGGCTCCAGCCGCAATTTAAAGGGCCCAGGGCTCCTGCCACGGCGGCAGAGGCCGGGACCCCAGACCCTTATAAATCGCTGGGCCCTGGGGCAGCTGCCCCTTTTGCCCCCCCTCTTGGTGGCCCGTAAAGCTTTAACATCAGCTGCGTATGGGCCCGTACCGGTGGCCACTTCTTACTGGTATACCATACCGGCCCACTTTCACCTCTGGATTCAGCTCAGCAGTATGGTTTCAAACTTAAGTATTCCTAATTGTAATAGTATGTTTTTTAAAGATACTAACATCTTTGTGAGCTATCTTTAAAAAAATCATCTTATAAAAGAATTACCTCAAGTCAGTGTCTCTTGTTATTACTCCTAAAATTGTAACATTCATGCTGCATAGACTGAGCATAGAATGACAGTAGGCTCCACTACTGGATGTTTTGAGACCTAGTTCAAAAAGCTTTGGACCATTGTAGACCTGTTTCATTTTACTGTCCATTGCCATGAGGCGCTGAGCTCTCTCAAGTGTAGTTGAAGGTGCTCAGAATCTCACAGGTTTGGGCCCTGAGTTAATTTCTTGGGAGAAGTGGGAGGCATTTTTGGAAGACCAATTAACAATATCTTTCAGGACACAGACTGCATGTTCCACCCTCAGTTATTGAAGGAAATTGCCAAAAAAGGGGTTGGGGTGTGGTGCAAATAGGGAGGCTGTACAGGCCTAAGAACAAGGGGATAAGAATGACATGATTGCAGGAGTTTGAGATCATGGTAGGCATGGGGGGAGGGATAGCTCAGTGGTTTGAGCATTGGCCTGCTAAACCCAGGGTTGTGAGTTCAGTCCTTGAGGGGACCACTTAGGGATCTGGGGCAAAATCAGTACTTGGTCCTGCTAGTGAAGGCAGGGGGCTGGACTTGATGACCTTTCAAGGTCTCTTCCAGTTCTAGGAGATGGGATATCTCCATTAATTTATTTTTTATTTATTTAAAACCTGTCAATAACAACTTTATATGTGTGTACCATCCAGATAAAGGTGTGTGTGGAGGGGGGGGGATGTATATAGATGTGTGTGCACATGCACACTCTCTCTAGTAACATAAATATCCATCTTTTGAATCCCTTATAGTATCCAGTAATTCAGCCTTTACAAAATGTATCCTAAATTGTAGCCATGTAAGAGAATGCTAGTGTAGTGAATTGTTCAGATTGGGAAATGCTACAAATTATTTAGGGTGACATTTTCAAAAGTGACTTAGATGCTTAGCAGGGCCGCCTCCAGGCACCAGCCGAGCAAGCTGGTGCTTGGGGCGGCAGATTGAACGAGGTGGCATTCTGCCCTATCCTAGGGCGGCACGGCCGCGCTTTTTTTTTTTGTTTGTTCCACTCCGGCCGCCCTGTAGGGGGCGGCGGCGCGGAGGACGGGAGTGCCCTGCAGCAAGCCCGGCAGGGCAGTCCTCGTCCTTCCCTCCCCGCTGACCGGAGCAGAGGGCAGGCGGCGCGGCGCGGCGTGACGGGAGGGGCCGTGTGGCAGCGCCCTACTGTAGCCCTGGCTGCCCCGCTTCTCTCTCTCTCCCGCCCGCTCCCTC